CGACCTCTATTTAAAAAATTCGCAGTGTTTAAACACTCCTACCTTAATGGCAGAAGTATGAATGCCGGGGATTTTTTCACTATCTGTCTACCCTTCAGGCGCAATTTTTTTTTAAAATGGGCTTTCCTCCTTCTTAAGAATTACATGTGGTGGGTGAAGGACAGTAAACCAACGTAGACATTTCAGCAGTACTGAATTCTCGAGGCGGTACGGGTCAATGGATGTCATATAGCCGGCAAAAAACTGACCGAAAACTCTACCAAACAACGCCTTCCTTTAAAAATAGTATAGACAATTGTCCATAGTTTTTCCTTACCCCGTACATATGCTTAACTTTATTAAAAATGCATCCAGAGAGTCATAATAAAAGTGTAATAAGATAAGTTCTCCGACTACGTTACGGTGCATGTTCCTCCTGTTAGGCATTGGAATTTAGTCTGGATACGCAGCAGACAGTCACGTAGCATGTCGACAACAAACCGCAGCCAGTTTATTAACCGTCGTCAGTCAACCGTATGTATGACCAGGGGTTCGAGGACGAGTTCATTGGCCCTCAGGCGTCATGCGGCGCGCTGCGCTAACCACTGGGCCACAAGAATGTCCTCTAACTTGATCCATGAACGCATCTCCCCACGTTAGTGAATCCTCCCGATCGCAACAGACAGGAGAAGCCTAAAGAATGAAGAATCAGGGCTTGACTCCCAGATCGTCCAGACTTGGGACTGGGTATGACTGGCCATCCCAGTATCCCTCCTCTTCCTTGGGTTTCCCTCATTTAGCTTTAGTCTAAAGATTCTGTAGAAGGATTAGGCATACCAAATGCGAAACAATGCCTGGCGGAAAACTGTTAAGTTAACAATTTGAGCATAATATTTGAACCTGAAATGTCATAAGCACTACCGCCGCCGCAGCAGCCGCCATTGCCTTCGCCGACACCACCGCAGGAAGGTTAAAAACACCAAGTGTCCTGTAAGAAGTCATAGAAAGGAAAGTCGTATTCGCGAACCAGATTGTCATGAGTATACGCACTTCCGCCCAAAATGCACAAATGTCCGTCAAAAGACTCGCAAAACCAGAAGATGCGAGACGCATACACTGGAGTTGCGGCGCACATCTAAGCGTAAGAACTCACAAAGGCAGAGTACGCACATTTGTAGCAGTGCCTCACATGTCCTACGTTGAACCCATTATGAGATTTTTCTGGCCTCTGATCTTAAGGAGTATTTACAACTCGCACGCGTTGCCGACAGGAGAGGAGTCGGTGAGTCATGTGCAAAGTGCGTTGTTTATGCGCACACGTCCGCATCAGGTGCTTCTCTGGTGCCTCTAGCTGTCTGGTCTGTCTTCAGTCCAATTGGGTGTTTTTTTTCAACCCCCCCCCCGTTAGCATCTCCCGTGCTCGACAGGATTTGCTCGGTTTCAATTTGCTCTTATCTTCTCGTCTGACCGTCACTCAGCGCGACCGGTTGATCAACTGCAAATAATGATTAGTCAGCTTGTTTTTCCATGCGACCAGTGGGATGATTGAGGTCAGAGAGTCTTTGGAGGGCCAGGGAGTATTGCTGGAAGAAAAAGACGTTTGATGAGCAGCTATTATTAGCACGATCCGCCATTTAACCCCACACAGTCGCGTCAGGGCAGGAGACGTCAGTAGTTGCCAGTAGTGGGCTGCCAGTAGTGAGCTACAGAATCCGAAAGGGGGGAGCACGCACTTTGGTAACAGTGCCTCAACGTCTGGCGTCTAACACACTGTGGGTCCTTTGGACTGACATACGATCTTAGTGTATTTTCAACTCCCACGCGCTGCCGACAGTAGAGGACACGGTGGGTCATGCGCGCGAAGTACGTTGTTTATGCTCACACGTCTGCAGGTTCATCATCTCGCTCAGGTGCTTCTCTGCTGCCTGCAGGTCTAAACAGCTGTCTGGTAGACGGTATTAGTGTACTCCTCGCTCCTCCTCTGCACATTGGACTCCTGGTTGACCAAGGCCAAAGCGTATGACGACTAGTCGCCAGTGAAGGCGTCTTGTCTTGCGACTGTAAACTATACACACCTTCATATGTTAAGTTGTGAGCTCAGTTACTTGACATTGTGCGGAAAGGATAGTCATGAAAACCTCACTATCAGACGCATTCAGACGAGTTGAGAGATTGTTGCAACAACTCCACAAACTTTAAGATTGTTGAGACAGCATTTTCTGGTAGTCGTATCTTGTTTAATTTGAATGTTAGAAGAAATGCGAAGCAACGACGTTTTGTCGAAGTTTGGTGCGGTCTCTGCGCGGTCAATCGACAGCCGATTGCTGCAGTAGTCAAAAACGGTTGCAATTAAAGATGGTTATGACTTACCAGTCAGACACAACCCACTACTTCAATTGACTTAAAGGTTCCGAATGATGGAGCAATTAACATCACTGCTCACTGTGACGGCGTAAAAAGTAAACGGACCCTCGCTAATGTGTTCCTCGGTCTATGCGTGTTCAAGTTTTAAAGCACGCACATTTTCAACGTCCAAATCACTTTAATCCTCCCTTTATGCTATCAATGTAAATCGATTTTCGTCATTACTCTTACGTCTTGTGTTTCATATGAAAGAATTCAACAAATCTGCTCGGGCATATTTGTCCTTTGAAGCACCCGGTTTTGCAGGGCTTCTTAGTATTGTAGGCAAACATTTCACAGATGTGTAGAGGACTTCAGTATTCATTAGTAGTAACCTTATGGTACAAATGGAAATAGATAGTATGGCAAAATGGATTTTGGCAAATGCTGTCAAAGTCTACGGTGAGGGTTAGTTGTAGATTGGGAGACCAGAGACCAGTTCATCTCTGGTAGGCTCTCCGACTCAGTCGACGTATACTAAGGCACGACTCTGAGGCCCGCTAGAGGGGGCAAAACTATGCTTGAAGTCGATGTATCGTGTACTGGCCTAACCATTTATCTACTTACCACGCATCGCACATGAAAGTGCAAATGACCGTGAGAGTGAATGATAGTTGAATAAGCCGTTTGAGCCTGATGTTTGCTTATAAATTGGCTACCCATGAGGTTTGCTTAAAGTTGCCTTTGCAGCCTGAACAAGATGTAGAAACAAATACAAGCCGTGACTCCGACATTAATCTAGTGGGTTAGAGCTCTTCCTGAAAATGCCCTCAGTGTAACACTTTTGAAATCCCCTCTGATATCCAGAGGTGACTTGAAGTAAGTGCTTTGGGACAAGTCTTGTCCGACTTAGTCCAAAGGTTGGTGTGAATATGTGGGTTGGCATCAAAGCACTTGAGCTGATTAATTGTGTGGTATTTTTTAACTGCAAACAGGCATCCAGCGGTACACGATGGTGCAGGATTAACCATAATAGCAGCACATGTTCTAACTAAGAACCGAGACACGATCTTCTCGCAGTGTCATGCTGCGAAGCATGAATCGTCGGCACACGTGCATGTGCTTTTAGTAAGTGTCTGTGTTGTTAATATAATAAATCATTAAATGTGTATATAGTATCACCTGTCCGTTTGGAGTTACTACATATTATGCGGTTATCCTGCTGTCCATCACTGGGAGTCGGCAAGACACCCGAGTGAACAGCATCCGGGTCAACTATCACAAGCAGTACTCAAAAAACGAAAAATTGAAGATCACTCCAACTAACGCAGTACGTTTATCATCACGGGCCATCATTACCTCTCTGCAGAAGAGGGGCATTTTTGGAAGACTGAAGAAAATTGCATAACGGAATTTTTGCTGAAGTGGTCTTTATCATCAAGAGGGAAAAAACTCAACATTTTCACACCATATATGTACGTCACAAATGCGTACTTGCCCTAGGAACCCTCCTTCTCTATCCCAGCGTTTCCTTCTTTTGTTACACATGAAATGCATACTTATGTCGGTACTTGGTCGTCCATTTATTGCATAAAGTTAAGTTCGCGCATCTTCATATTTAGGAAAAGTTGATGTTTCCTCAATTGTCAACATTTTCTACTTAGCTCACTGAAGGGTCCGGACTTATACGACATTCTTTTGTGTACTTCGGACTTCATATACACACTGCACCAGCAAATTTAAATTTCTACGGGGTACTTCATTGTGGATACATAAGCAATAGCGGCCACACCCTCTCTAAATATTGCAAACAACAAACGCATACATTCTTAATGACATAAGCCCTCCTTTATTGGTTGCTATGGCTATTTTGGAAAAAATCGTTAATACTAGAGGCCGTCGGACAATATGAGCACACATATGTAAAGTCAGGATTCGTATAACGGACAGTCTGAATTTGGATGAATATGACGCAATATCCGTCAGCTTATGTTTTATGTTTCAAAATACCGAAATAAAAAAGTTTATCAGTGTAATTGTTTTACCAGACTGAAAATGCGTGTCGTAAACGAATATATATTGAGTTCGCGCGACATGCCGTCACTTTGCTCTGCCACGCCAAACGATAACTATGTCTAAACAATACTTATCCGAAGTTGACTTCCAGCGCATTCGAAAATCAGCGGCGGAGGGAATCCCGCGTGAGTCGTTAGCTAGTATTTGCAATATTAGCAAGATCACTCTGTGGCGCATTATTAATGATAAAACTGTTCCTAGAAATAAGATAGGGGGACCAAAACGGTCCACAAGTAAGCAAGACGACGATTTTATTCGTCGTACATTAAAAAAAGTTTCATTACATGCCCATTGGGACCACTCAGCGGGAACATCTGCCGATGTTTTCTATGAACATCATTAGAAAAAGGATGAAGGAATTTGAACTGCAGCGGCGGAAGGCCATGATTAATCCATATTTAAGTAGAAAACTAATTAGAGAACGGCTTTTATTTGCTAAGAATTATATTGATTACAGGTCTTCATTTTGGAAGAGCATTTTCTACTGCGATGAGGTTCTATTTTTAGACAAGCCTACGAAATCGCTCCAAAACGTCATATGTGGAAAGAACTTCCCAAAAGAACACACTACACCGACGGCAACATTTACGAACTGTCGGCGGATGATGGTTTGGATGGCGATTAAATTCGGTGAGCGGCCTGTCTGGCGGTCAACATCCGACACCATCAACAGCAAGGTGTTCATTGCAATCGTCAAGGATGCTTTCGGCTACAACGGCATAAGTCGGCGCCGAATGGATACTGTAATTTTGCAGGACAATGCACCTGTCCACCGCTCTAAAGAGGTATGAATTTGATGCGGCTTGCAAATATAATCTAACGTTCTAGACAACAACCACGCTCTCCGCAATTGGCCTCCAATCCATTTTCATCCCGGCCAACAGTCCCGATTTGAATGCTATCGAAAATCTTTTGGAATAGTCAAAAGAAATTGGCACAAAGCTAAGAAGACTCTTTCAATGCCGGAAAATTGGATTTCATACTCAATAATTACATTTTACAATCCACCATAGATAACCTTGTCATGTCTATGTCGGACAGACCTTCTGTTGTTATTAATTCGAATGGACAATCTACAAAGTACTAATTTTTTGTATCTGTTTTTGTCCTTAATTATTTTTGACCTTTTATGCGCCCTCCTCCTTTATACGTCCTCATACGTAGCCTTTATTAACTTGGTTGTAATATAGGCGTTTCTCGAAAATGTGACTTTTGTCGAAAATTATTTATTTTTATCTCAGGAAATAATATTTTCTTAACCGAACTTTGCTTTATTTCTTTGACACATCGTTTATTTTTTGCTATCAGACTTTGGGAGCCGTAGTGTTTACCGATTTTGCGTTAAAGTCGTTAACCTGTGTTAATTCGTGACATTTCATGAGTTAGCACAGGTACTGTATGTATAACGGAGAGTCTGACTTTGGAGGAATATGAACCAATATCCGTCAGCTTTGATGCACTCGTTCCATCCCTTGCACTTAGTCGGACGAGCAGTTAATAGCCTTGTCGTTGCATCTGGTTCTTCTGTCTGATGCCTGTTATCGCGATCACTGTGGACTTGGGCTAGAAAAAAACATCCTCTGTTAAAGACCCGTGTAAGCTGATTTTGTAGTCTTACGCATACATTCGGCTAGTCTCGTGGTCCTGGGAGTGACGTTTTCTCATCTGCATTGTGATAAGCAAACCGCCGCCCACCTTCTGAACACCAGCCATTAACAAACTGCACAAAAGTGTGATTTACGGGCTGAAGTTGGTGTTGTTTCCGAAATTTATAATCAAAGCAACTAAATTTCATTGACAATGTTTTGGCGATGTTCGACCCCGCGGCCCCACTTGATCAACACCATATAGATAGTTCCCTTAAAGATATGTGGTAGGTGCAAATCCGTCGACTTTACAGATATCACATGTTTACGACTTCCTTGCTTTTTAAATCCGTCGAATATTTGCGCATTTTGGGGGGAGTGTTTATAATCCATGCCCTGTTTACATCCGTCATCAGTTCACACAAGCTTTCCCGAGTGTGCTGCAAGCCCTGTCTGCGCCCTCCTTCTGAGCTTGATCCCCCGAATGAATACGTAAATTTGCCAATGACACAGTTTGGACGGATTGAAACTCCGTCATCTCCACACTGGTAGCCACGTACTACGAATTGACACGCGATTCCCCCCTGGATCTGCAGTTGTGATTGCACTCTCCCTATCCTCTTAAACCAGTGAGTGGCTGCGTCGCGCTAGACTGCACATGCCATCTTCGGCTTGACCAAGCATCGACTCACACGCGCTTCCTTGCGTGTGCTTTGAGCTCTGCTTGCACTGTCTTCCCAGCGAAAGAGGCTTTAATTTGCATGTTAAATAAAATTGTTTTAAAAAAAGATAACCCTAGGATAATTATCAAGTGGAGCTGCAGGACCAGACCTCACCAATGTTTCATATGCCATTTGCGCAATTAAATGGTAACGCGGTGTGAATATGGGAGGATAATTAGAGGCTAGCAGAGTCCGTTTATTGGTGTATGCGTGGCTATTGTGGTGTTGGGTGTGGGTTTGGTAAAGTCTTATCAGAGTGAGATTAGATGGAGAGCGAAGGAGGTGCCCTAGAGGTGCGCCTACTAAAAGCAGATGGCGTTTTTTGGTGGAATTCCAAGTTTCTTATTCTCTGTCGCAATGCCTGTCAGCTGGGTGAAAATCAGTTTGGCTTTTACAGTATATTCGTTAATACCTTCACTGGCCTGTTCCCTCGCATCGTTACTGTGCTTGTCAAATGAGCTTGCTTGCGATGGGTGATGACACAATTTATGCAGAGTCCTTTTGATGGATAATATGGGGATGGGAGGTAGTCGTTGTATTTATTAGTTGACTGTCTGCTCGGCGAACTAGGATTCGACTACTGCGACCTCTCAACTTATTTACAGGAGTATAGAACAAGGCGCGACTCCTCAGCCGATGTCGTTCTTTTTCGATACGATCTAAGCCGGTTGATTTCAAGAAAAGTTGTCAGCCTTATCGATTAAGACCTGCATTAGGTTTCATTTAGCTTATATGAAGGGAAGAAACGTGTTGACGAAGATTTCGAACACTTGAATCCACTACGCGAAATTGAATGCGGAGGAAATGGTTTTCTGATGTGGCCGAAACCGTTTCGACTAAATTTGATTTTTGTGGTCCTAGCAACTTGTCGTGATTGAGTCGGTGGTAGTAAATCCTGGAAGGTAATCGGATAAGGGAAATCGAATCACCTTCTTCATGTGGCCTGTATGGCACTCGGTGAACGCCAGCTTAATACCGTGCGTGGTTGTTTAGCTTTGTCAGTCATTGCATTGAAGTCCGCCCCCGATTGTGTTCACGGTCTCCAACGGTCGGAGTCTTATGGGCGAGCGGGGAGGAGGTTCGGCATGTGCAACGCAAGTCTACCTAGTTTATGCACAGGCCGTCGAGGCGTGCGCACCCTGTGGGGTACCCAGTGATCGTCGTCGCTTCTGACATTTAAACGAGTTAGGAGTTACAGCATAATACCCGAATAATCTTTCGCTAATTGATCAATCAATTCCTCAAAAAGCAAAATAGACGAGCGCTTGATCGTCAGCGTAAACTTTGACTCCTCTTCCTAACTCAAATTGTCCTTTCCGCGTAAAAAATCTACCGTCGCAACTAGTTAAACCGTTTCGTTTTGAATTCTACTCGTGATTTTATTTCTGATTTGTCTGGTATTGCTAGTTGATATAAGCGCAGGGACGAAGAAACTTCAAAAGATGACTAAAGAGAAGCCAGTATTCCGAGTAAAAAACGCGACTGGTTGGAACGTTGCGTACGAAATCAAACTTTGTGATTGTATCTTCAATTTGTCTGGGTATGCTGGTAGTATAGGTCTCCTAATCTATATATTCATCAGACGTAGATATCGCGTACGGCTGGATGATGTCCTCCTTATTCCCACATCTGACATTTACTATTGAAAGACATGAGGTTATGGTGCTTTTTCTTTAAATGCAAAGCCTCATGACAACATGCCGTCTAACAGGAAGACATTTATTAAACACAACTTTCTCTCCCCGAATTAAGAGTCCTTTCGACTCCGCCTGTCCAATGTGAGTATGCACAACTCGAGTACGCTTACTTTGGAAAGGCCGATACGTGGACGATACATTCGTCATTATTGAAAAGGATAAGTTATCGGGTTTTCAAGACTTACAGCATATGCCCCGACAGTCAGTTTACAAGAGAAGACAAGGAGGACGAAAAACCAACCTTCCTGGACGTGCTCGTCACGCGCACAGCTGACGGTGAACTCAGCACTACAGTGTACAGAAAGGCGACCAATAAAACCCAGGTCCCCAACTATCATAGCAACCACCCATTGGTGCACAAACGGGGTTGTGTGAGGGCGCTTTTTGACCGGGTAAAAACGCACCGTAGCGAGCCCGAAGGAAGGATGCAAGAACTACGGCATCTTCGGGACCAGTTAACATAGAACGGCTACCCAAATAGTTTTATCAGTCGCTGCATACGCGCGCACCTACGCCGGACAAACGGAAGAGAGACACCAACATTTTGGCACTCCCTACCGTACATAAAGAATGTGTCCGAGGCTACAGAACGCATTGCGTCAGAGCTAAGCGTGGGCATCGCTCATCATTCGGCGGCCACCATGCGTAGCAGGATCATGAAAATGAAGGATCGGCTGGACGCACGTGAACAGTCGGGCGTAGTCTATCAAATCCCGTGCCGAAACTGTCCTTGCCACTACACAAACCAGACAGGACGACATCTCAGCTCACGAATACTTGAGCACAGACGGGCCGTTCGGAGAGGCGACCCACTATCTCAAGTAGCCACTCACACGCTGGAGGAAGGCCATGAGTTCGACTTCGCGAACACGCGGATATTGGCTCGAGCCGGCAACAAGACAGGGCGAAAGCTGTTGGAGGCGTGAGTGTCGGACACCACCTCTATCAAAAGACACATCGATTTGCCTGCGTGTTATTACGCGCTCCGACCACGCAGCCAGGTGGCGCAGCTCACACCGTCGAGAAGTACAAACGGCGTCACCACGCCGAGGGAACATCGTGGATCAAGCGGCACAAACCCTACCTAGCCACGAACGTACTCCCCCTCCCCCCCCGCAAGGACGAGCGATATAAATGTTCAAATCTGCTGCACTCAAGTAGTCTCTGATGATGAACTCCAGTTCGAGTTCGAAAGCTCAGGCAAATAAACCTACTGTCCCAGTCATCGTGCCTTCGCCTTCTTTTAAATGGCTTGTTGATTGCCAAACTTCTTGCTACAAGTCAACTACTCTCTGAGTGAAAGTAATGTCAGCATATAGGTGTTACACTTACATTGCGGAAATGCGAACTGAGGACAATGAATCTCGTGTTTCATTGTGTAACTTCTCGACATTTCAATACTGATTTCTCTACCCACACTCATTACCCACATGATGCAATGGAGGGTCCGCTTAGACCCACCCGGATCCTCCCATCCATGAGATTCTGTCTCAGAATGTACTCGGTGTGGTTGAAGACAGTCAACGAAAACGTATGGAAAAGACCGTCGGCCTTGAAATGGCAGTTATTATTGGCGAAGGAAGTTCTCTCGATTCGTCTACGCATGCACTATTTACGAAGTTATTGGGGGTTGATATTCGCTTTACGGTCGGATTCTTATGGATGAGCGGGGCGAAAGTTCGGCATGTGCAACGCCGCCGAGGCATGCGCACGCTGTGAGGTTCCCGGCGGACGTCGTTGCTTATGACAGGTAAACTTTCGGCGTGAACATTTCACTCCTCTTCTTAGCTCTAATCTTCCTTTTCGCGTAAAAAAAACAACCGCCGAGAGTAGTTGGACCGTTTCGGTTGGAATTGTACTCTGTAATTATATCTTCGATTTGTCTGACCATTCGTCGACAGGATGATATTCCTTGA